TTAACACAAACAACTAACGGCTAGGTTGTTTGTCATCCTGTAGCACTTACAATATGGTTGATTTGTGGTTATAAGGAAGCGTAAAAGGTAGATTTCAAAATTTTGTATAGAACTTTAGGCTTGCTATATTAAAAAACACCTTCAATTACAATAAAGGCGTTTATATGATATGAAATTTTTTAATTAGCGAAATTGTCTATTTTATGATTTATATGACTTTAAACTGAAGTTCTAATTAGTTATCTAACTATTATTTAATTGTCACTTAGGGCCGGGCGCTGGGAGGGGGGGGGGTGGGTTGTACGGGGGAAAACCAAAAAATCCACAGGAGGACGTGGTCCTCCTGTGGATTTTTGGAAAAAATTTTTTTTGACCCCCCGCCCCCGGACCAAAAGTGCTCGCCCGCCCCTGTTGCCACTTAATTACCTAAATTTGCTACTGTTGGCTGTTTAAAATTAAGTGTGTCGTTAAATCAAGATGAATTTAGAAAAATGATATCACTTTCCATGATGTCATTTTTGTTGATACGTGCAACACAATAAGTGAATACGAGGTGACAGTAGCCGCGATTGTACTTCTTGTTTACCTTTGCTCGACAAACTTTCAACGATACGTTAAGTGAGCTTTGTCGTTTGGTGGCTCCATTTAATTGCTAGGGTGGGACTTGGTCTAGGGGTAGAAGTTGGCTAGGACTAAGGCTAGGACTAGGGCTAGAACCTAGCTGGAGGCTAATGATGGCACTGAAGCCGTGGCTTTGGCTTCGACTTTTCAGGTTTAGGCTTTTTAAGTTTAGGTTTCTTGACCTTGGGTTCTAAGGCTTAGGTTTGTTAATTTTCCTGGGCCTAGGCTTCTTAGGTTTAATTGGTTTGGAAATGTTCTCGAGCTTATGCTTTTAGTCTTGGGCTTCTTAGGCTTGAATTTCTTTAGCTTGGGCTTCTTGTGTTTGTGCGTCTTGAATTTATTCTTCTTAGGCTTGGGCTTCTTGAGCTTGGTTTTCTTGCGCTTGGATTCCTTGGGCCAGGGCTTCTTAGGCTTACGCTTCTTGGGCCTTTTATGCTTAGGTTCTTTGGGCTTGGACTTCTTGGGCGCTTTCTTTCAGGCTTATTAGGCCTTCTGGGATTGTGCCTGTTGTTCTTAGGTTTTTGGAACATAAGTTCTTTGTGTTTAAGCTTGAGCTTATTCTTCTTGTGCTTGGGCGTTTTTGGGGTTTTGGCTTTTGGGCTTGGGCTTTTTGGTCTTGGGCTTTTTGTGCGTCTTTAGCTTGGGCTTCTTAGGTATGGGCTTTCTGGGCTCGGGTTTTATAATTGGGCTTTTATGCGTAGGCTTCTTAAGCTTAGTTTTGTTGGGCTTAGGCTTCTTTGGTATAAGTTTCTTTAGCTTAGGGCTGTGCTTAATCTTCACGGGCTTATGCTTTTTGGACTTAGGTTTCTTAATACTCTTTGGACTATAGCTACAGCTACAGCTATGATTAGAAGTTGTTGTTGACTTTAGACTATACTTTACTGTATTTCTTCATTTTCAACCTAAAAGTTGTTGTTTATTACTTTATTTTTCATTTATTACCATACTTTCTTAAAAAAATTGTTCACCAACAAGTACGATTTTAGTAGTGATACACCAACACCAAAACAAAAGTGAAAATGATGACTTTTGCAGAAAAAAGTAAAATGAATTACTTTAAACGACGTCTTCCCTGTCTTTAGAGTCTTTTTTGATCGATGAAAATAATAAGATTTCTGCCGCCCTTTAAGTTCTTCTTTCTTCTCACCAAACATTCTATTCACACAGTTATGGAGGGTTAAGTGGGGTTAGCAGTAGCGGGTTCATCTTTCGCTTGGTTAGCTTGTTTTGCTAGGAATCTTGGGAGCAGGTCTTTGGTGGCTTGTATGGATGATAGAACGTGCCTGCTTGAGCTAAAATTGAAATTAGTAAGAAACTTGGGCTTGGCTCGGTCTAGAAAAGTAAGCTTTGTTGGCCGAAAAAACCAAAATTTTCAACTTGAAAAATGCATTTTTAAAAATTTTTTAAAATTTGTATGTATTTACAGATGGCGCAAAACTTTTTATACAACTATAAACTTGTTTAAAGAACCAATATTTTTTAACTATACGCTTGTGGCTTTTAGTGTTACTAATACTACTATAACATTAGCTTTTGCTCTTGGCTAAGCACCAGCTAAGTTAACCCACGTCATTTCCTGTTGACAAAATTAGATGCGATTTTTTACACGGCAGTTTAAAAAGTTCTTCACAAACTTTTCGACGTTTGACTGACACAAAACTGCTGTAATGTGTGCACTTACAACTTTCGCGTTATCGCAGTTTTAGCTATATCACGGTTAATTGACTTTCTTGGTTTTAAATAGTGGCGTTATGACTTAAATTTAAATTTCATAGTAGCGTTATGAGTTGAATTGAATGTTTTGATTTGTACGTAAGTCACTAGGTTTTGTTAATACATTGGAACGTTCGTATAAGGAACCTCTATATAACGAAACTCCTGCATAACGAACAACTTTTGAATTCCTGGCTATCATTACACAGTGCATTTTAAACTTCTGTATAACGAAGCCTCTTTATAACGAAAGAATTTTAATTTTCCTATCGGTTTGTTATAAAGGGGTTTAACTTTGCTTCTTACACATTAGCCTTTCTTAAAGATCTTTTAACAGTGCAGTAGCGCTCCTGTGTAAAGAATTGTTTAAAGATATTCAAATTGTTTTGTTATAGTTTTGCTATACAAGTCTTCAAAGTTTTCAAAGTTAAATTAAACTTTATACAGAAGTTTTGAATGCACTTCGTAGCTGTAGACCGAGGATTTAAAAGTTGCTTAATATACTGAAATTTTGTTACACAGGAGTTAGTTATAGAGGAGCTTGTTAAATGGAAGTTGGTTGGTTATAGAGGAAATAGTTATAGATGAGTTCGTTATAGGGGAGTTTGTTATAGAGGAGTTTGTTATACAAGAGTTTGTTACAGAAGATATTGTTATAAGAGAGTTCTACTGTATTTGTAATTAAAAATCTAAATTTTTAGACAATTGTATATACGCTGATAGTTAACAAGCATTGATCTATAACCATCAGTACTAGCTATTTTATCAACGCCTTATTAATTTTTACAGCACCAACCACTCTTCCTAGTGTTCTATAATTTATGATTTTGAACTGGTCTGTTGTTCTAACTTGTTGTTTTAAAATACGGTGTAATATTACCGATATAAATAACTTATCATTGGGAAATGCTGTCGTTTTTCTTTAAAATTTCAAAATTTAAACCTTGTTTATGATGTATATATAAGTGCGTCTTATGTGTCTGCTTTAGCTTTTTACATTGAATTTATTAAAAGTTACTAACCCATTTTGAATTATATTTTAACCTACAAAACACAATGGTTTTTGTAGTCTGATCATCTGACTACACTGTGAAAAGCGGTGTTATCATTCAGCAAAGACGGAAAGTAGGCTGTTATTCCATCTAAGGTTACTGAAGACAAACTATGGTGTTATTCAAGCTAAGGTTACTAACGACAAACTATGGTTTTATTGATGCTAAGGTTACTGAAGACAAACTATGATGTTATTGAATTTAAGGTTAGTAAAGACGAAAAATGTGACAGTGTAAGAAAATTCTTATACAGCTTTTTGATCTCTAAGCTTGTTATGTTCAAATTCCAAGGTTATGTTACTTGAATAAAGCGTGTCTTAGACTATTTTCATTTGACAAACATAAAACTATAGGGCATGATGTCAGGTTTTTAGGTATTTAAAAGTCGATGTTTAGGATATTTTAAGCAGCTGCGTTCTAAGGTAGTGTAAGTTACGATTTTAAAGCTTGGTAAGATAGGAACGAAGATTAGTGCAAGATTAAACAGGATATGGCTAAGGCATAGTGAAGTGAGACAGGATATATTACACAGGGACGTCGTTTGGGGGGGGGGTTTCCACAGGTAGGTACCTGTACGCGGAAAAACGAAATAAAAAATTTTTGAACAATCGGTTGTCAGGGTAGCTACCTGTGGACCAAAAAAACTTTTTCGACTTGATTATGGTACGGAACATCAAGGCAGGGTAGGATAAGATCGAATATTGTAGGCTAGTATGACGTAGGGTACTGTAGGGTAGGGTAGGGTAGGGTAGGGTAGGGTAGGGTAGGGTAGGGTAGGGTAGGGTAAGGGGTAGGGTAGGGTAGGGTAGGGTAGGGGGAGGGTAGGGTAGGGTAGGGTAGGGTAGGGTAGGGTAGGGTACGGTAGGGTAGGGTAGGGTAGGGTAGGGTAGGGTAGGGTAGGGTAGGGTAGGGTAGGGTAGGGTAGGGTAGGGTAGGGTAGGGTAGGGTAGGGTAGGGTAGGGTAGAGTGTGGTAGGGTATATTACCCTACCTTACTATAAGTGCCAGGGCACATAACTTCATCAATAAACATCTTCTCGACAAACTTTATGGGTTCGAGTCGCTCTCATCAACATCTTGTTATTAATGGCTTCTCCAAATCAAAAAAAAATACTTCTTTGAAAACCGTTTTTCACTTAGTTTTCTGAATTGTAAATTAATGTTTATTGGGTATTGATGGTATATTAACCTTTACTGTTGTAGTAACTGCTGTATTTTGACCGCTGAAATGTTTGAGAGGTGACTGGGACGGTTTTGTAACGTTAATGGTATCAACAGGTCGAAAAAGTTTTTTTATTTTTTTCTGTTTTTATCGACCGGTCGGAAATTTTTGTTAGTTTTTTAGCTTCTATCGGCCGATCAAAATTTGTTTTTTTTGTCTTACACATATAATCGACCGGTTAAAAACGTTTTTTTTTGGATATTATGGACCGGTCGAAAATTATCTAAAAATTGTAAATATTATCTACTAGTAAATCTTTTTTTTGTATTATGCTTATGTGTAATATAAGTTTCGTGAACGTGTCACTTACTATAATTCTCCTTAAAAGTGAGAGCTACAATAACGTTAACACCACTAATTTTGAAACCTTTAGTAGAACCCTTACCAATAGAAATGGAGCCAGACGTTGAGAAAGGTGAAAAGCCACAAAAAAAGTTTGAATCGCGACTAGCTGCCATTAAGGAATACGGGTACGGCCTTCCTCTACCTCCAAAAATTGTTGTGTTACCAAACAAATTTGACAATGATCCAAGTGACTTCTGTATGTGCATGAGCCATGTCCATGTAGGTTTTTACTTCATGTTTTACCTTAGTCATTCCTCGCACGATAGTACTAAAACCAGAATTTTCACTAGACTTTTAAAGGGGCTGAGCCTATTTTTTGGCTAAATGGGTTTTGGCTTTGATGCATTTTTAACGTCAATTTTCTTCATTTTTTGCAATTTAAATCTTTCGCTGTGGGACCCAAGGAAGTCTCAGAGACGTTGGTTTGGGCCCCGGCCTTAGGTTCAAATGTGCCGGCCCAGCCCTTTCTAAGTTTGCGTTGGCTTGGGCCGGCCTGTAACAACGCAGTCCAGCCTAGCCTAGCCTAGACCATCCCAGCCCAGCCCAGCCCAGCCCAGCCCAGCCCAGCCTAGCTCAGCCTAGCCCAGCCCAACCCAGCCCACCCCAGCCCAGTCCCGAGCAGTCCAGCCCAGCCCAGCCTAGCCCAGTCCCGAGCAGTCCAGTCCAGCTTTTTTTTTAGTTTAGGCTAGTTTCTAGGGCTGGGCTTAGAAAAACCTTTTATAAGCCTAGTTTACAGTCGTTCTAAAATGCTGACTAAAACAATATCTTTCTATAAAAACACATTTTCAGACCGGAACCCAGTTGATTGGCATGATTACCTTCCTATGGTGTTTAGCTTCAAGCGTACGAAGCTTTGCAGCCACCTCCCAGCTTATCACTTGTACTGAAGGCTGTTTGGGTATGCTGTTCAGTATAATATTGATATCTGGAAATCGACGAAATTTCTGGTTGTACTATATTCCTTTCCTAATCTTCTTTGTAAGTTTGCTACAGCTTATACGAAAACTGTGTATGGCATTTAAGGCTTAAAATTACTGGGCTAAAGCTATTTTTTAAAAAAGTTGACGAAATGTCACAAAAACTATTGAAAAATAAAAAAATTTTTTTTTTTTGGTTGATATGACCTTTGCCAAATGATAAAAAACCGTAAAGACAACTTTTAAAAATCTAAAAACACTATTTTAGACCCTCGACATCTGTTCGTGGCTGACCTACGCCTTCTACTTGATGTTCTACGACTTCATCGAGGAAGAAGACCGGTTACCCCACAAAGCCGACTTAATTGTTTTGTTCAAGTCAATCGACGACATTGACGACGTACACAGACTAGTGTTCGGCGTGTTGTTAGTAATCAAATCCATTATCTATATATACATGGTATACGTGGTGGCGCGCGGTATGCTGTTCCTGAAGCGCGGTGGACGGCTCCAACCCGAAAATTAGGCCTTTTGAAGCCTATTTTTAATTTAGGTTTTTTTATGTTGTGATATCATAATAAGTCTCAAAGCTTGCCAACTTCCGTTTTACTGCTAGGTTGTATATATCTAAACTTTGCTTTTACTATGCTCTCTATGTTAATTCATAATCAGTACTATCTAAAATATGATCTCAAATTTCTCAAAAATTGTATATCTTATCACAAGAAGGACGTGTATTACATTTTAGCTTTTGCGTTTAATTTGTTATTTCAATAAATTTTGAAATTGTATCTTTTTGAAATTTTCAGAAAAAGCGTGTAATTGTAATAACGTAACATTGCATTGCATTTTGAAATATATACTTCTTGGTACAAGGGAACACAAACGTATGTAACAGCTACAAGAACGAGAAACACAAAGCATTTACAAATATGGGCCAGTATTTATTCTGCCATCGACTTTTCTTTCATAATTTTGAAAGAACATAAACGTATTTAAGCTTGCAAGCATGACATACTACTATAAACAGCGTACTAGGCCTAAGAAAGGGCTTGCTAAGTCCGGACTATCTTGGACTGTCTTAGACTGGGCTGAACTGAGGTTGGGCTAGGCTGAGCTAAGATGGGCTGGGCTGGGAAGAGCTAAGCTGAGCTGAGCTGAACTGAGCTGAGCTGAGCTGAGCTGAGCTGAGCTGAGCTGAGCTGAGCTGAGCTGAGCTGAACTGAGCTAAGCTGAGCTGAGCTGGGCTGGGCTGGGATTTGATAGGCTAGAGTAGACTGGACTGGAATGGACTGGATTGAACTGGAATAAGCTGGGATGGGCTGAACTGGGCTGATTACTAGATTTGACTAAACTGGAGTTAACTGGGCTAAGCCGGTCTAATTTAAACTAAGCCGAACCGAGCTAGAACGGACTAAACAGATGAAAATTAAAAGTTCTTGGATCAATCCAGCACATGTATATATAATATAATAGAACCCGATACCCGAGGCACAAAACAAAACCCCGAGGCCCCGGTTTAGGTCTTGCAACGAAAGACTTGTTTTGCAAAATGCCGAAACGCATCGAACCGAGCCGACTCACCTAAAACCAAGAGTCGAAACCGAAGCCTGTGGGTAGGCTTAAAAATTATTCCAACGCCTTAACATGTATTGAGAACACAAATGTCTTCAAACTTACAACCGTGACAAATAGTTTTAAAAAAAAGTACAGAACACGCAAAACGCTACAAAAACATCATTTTGTATAATATTTCTATAGTTCCATTTCCTACAACTCAATTATTTTCTCAAAACGTCTTATTGTAGTTGTTTACAGCGGTGTAACATACTTTTCAAGATTTGAGTTTTAATTAAAAATTGGAAACTTTTAAGCTACGTAAACTAAAGGTCTTGATGCACAAAGTAAATGGCAAATGTTGCTGATTTGTGCAACAGAGGTTTTATTATGACCTTTGACCGGTACTGGCCTTACATTGTTTATGCTGTATCTATTGTTTGCAATTTGAGCGTTATGTTTTTGTGCTACAAACAAAAAGTTAAGCTCAAAAATTATGGTACAATACTAAGTTTGGCTGCTAGTTTTAACTTATTTCAAAGTGCAATAGACTTTTTCATTGGTATGGTAAGTAGTAGGGTCGGGCGCTAAGTTTGGGTTTCAGAACAAGAGATTTTGAACTACAAAAATTGTAAAAAAACTTAATTTAAAGGTTATTTTGAATAAATTTATATTATTTTAATATTAAGCCGGCCAAAGCGCAAACCAAGACTTCAAAGGCTCATCATAAATCAAAAAAAAGTGATCCGACGTGGCCTTTCTTTACAAATTTAAAAAAAGTGTATTTTCAGCAAATCGTTCAACGAGGTAACCTGGTGTTTTACTTCACTGATACAATACTTTTCTATAACGTCAACAAAACTATACAGTACGTATTGTTTGTTACAAGATTTATTACTTTTTCCTTATCGGCATGCGCTCCTGTGTTGCAATTTAACTTACGTTATCAAATACTATACAAGTTTGCGATTACAAAACGGTTGATATATAAAAGATGGGCACTTGTTATTGCATTTTGTACTGCTGGTTGTATGACAAACGTTTACAACTTTGAAGATGGCAATAGTTATAAAGAAATTGTGTTTGGAAATGTGTCGGAATGTGATGTCAACGACAATGAGTTACCTACTTTTACGGTTGTTGACCGAGTAAGAAGACAGCGATAATCTTCAAATAACACAACTTTTTTCAAAACTGAATAAATCTTTTCAGAGTACCATAACTTCCAAAATTTATGCGTCATATACTACAGCATTCTTACTTGTGAATGGTGCCTTGGTCGTTTATTATGCTGTTGCAACGTGGCGACATTTTAAGCAACAATTGAAGAAAATTCCCATTTCAATGCGGCGTTTGAGCAAAGATTTCACTGTTATTTTGTCATTTCAAGTACGTTATTAAGATGAAAGATTTAGGTACAAACTAAAATAAGGTTTAAGGCTAGCAAAGAAAGTGCCAGACCGTTCTTTTTATTTATTTTTTTATTTGCTTTACATTCTTCAAGCGTCTACAATTACAATTCGGGAGATATAGATTAGATTAGTAGTTTGCTGCCGTAGATTGTAACGTACTGTGCTAATGTGCAAGGATGTTCAAAGTTCAGATAAAAGCCATCTCCTTGAGTCTGACATTTCCCATAATCGGGCCCAGATATTTCACTGTTCCTCGCGTCACTGAGTCGCTGGTGAGGTGCTCCATTAGACTTCTGGCGTTCGACCATATAGTCGTGTAGGCCAAGTATTGATGTGCCTAGTCCCTGTGCACTCAGCACTACCCATTCCAGAAGGCGCCTGGGTTGGGCGGTGCGCGGGGACGAACCAAGGTCCTTTCGAATAGCGAGCGGCGCCACCGCAAAATTTTTGAGCGTAGCTTGTCTGAAAAGAAAAAAAGTGTTTAACACGATACCTAGGTTGCTAAAACGGCGAAAAAGTAAAATATTTAAATTTTAAAACTTAAAAAAACTAAAACTTTTTATTTAATATATTATTGCTGGTGCAAAGAATGCGAATAAAAATTGAGTTGATTCTGAGTAGAACAAACAGGATGCTTTACTTATAAATTTCCAACATGTATAGCACAAACGTTTTTAGGCGGTCCTACCTCTCACCTTTATAATCTTACCGTCAATGTTATTTATGAGCCGTGACGTGCCAACAAAAATTCAAGTGTTTATAAATAATGCGTCGGCAATTGGAAGAACACTCAACCCACCATTAGAAGCTTTGATAGTTTTATTAGTAATGCCATCGTTCCAACGACACTTGATTTCTCGTTGCACAAAAACTAAAATGTTTGTTAAACCAGGTTTGATGAGTGTGTCAACACAATAAAACCTAAAATAAATATATAATTTATGTTAGTACGTTTAAACATGACATAATTTACCCTAATCTACCCCACCCTACCTAAAAACAAAATTTACCGTTTCCCATACTATTCTACACATTTCAAAAAGAAGGAATTGAAACACACAATACAAATGCATCTTTGTTTTTATTATTTGTAGCTTATAGCGAATTGATAATAAACTTGCAAAATCTCTAGCTTTTATTAAAAACAGAATTATCCCAAACATTTTATATTTAGTTATTTTATGTTGATGGGGAACATTGGGACTTCTTGTAGCAAAAGCTTTATTCACGTTTTAACACATTACTTGGCAGTTGTTGCTGACTTTGCTTCTAGTCATTGCGCTGTGCTGCAGACAGAAAGTTAAACTAAAAGGCTGCGGGCGAATTTTAAGCATTAGTGCTGGGTTCAACATGTTTCAAAGCATAATTGCAGCATTTGTTGGCTATGTAAGTTTGTTGCAAAATTTGTACTTTTTTTCACAAATGACTTATTATAATAGTATGTACAGTGGAACTACTGTATTAATATTCTTGGTTTAAAAGGCGGTAGTTTGCTCGTTATGAATATGTGGTCGTATAGAGTAGATTTAAAACAAACTGGTAAGTTTGGGTAATTGGCACATGACTTGGTCAAGCTAAAGCGTATTTGAAAAAAAAACGAGCCGGCAAATCATCAAAAATGTCTGTCCTACGGGCGGCCCAGATTTTCCAGAGGCCAACTTAGGTCTTGCAACAAAAGTTTGACTTGCAAAAAGTCACAAACCAATCTTTTCAAGATGTTTAATTAAGAGTAACTTTTTAATTTCTCAGCTAAATTATTGTTTATGGAGCAAAGAAGTGCATATATATATACTTTCCAGTTATTACTTTTATTTATTTATATAAACGCCCGGGCCGAACTGAAGCAAATTTGTTAAAAGTTGGATTGCCCCATATGATTTGGTGGGCCAAGTCTGAACTCATGACTTAAAAAAATTGGGCCCGGCCTGGCCTTTTTGCTAATAAATCAGTTATTACCATTAAAGAAAATTATTATACAAAGGCGTCAAAGTATTTAAAAATTTTTGTAGGAATTGATACATGTTTTTGTAGGAATTGATACCACATGGATACTTGTATATATATGTTACTAATGCTCCGTGGTTTCAACACATTGACAAACACACCCAAGAAATATTGTTAGTTGTACGATTCACTACCATACATTTGTCTTGTTGCGTTCCATTGCTGCAATTCCACTTGCGTTACAAAATACTTCACGGTGTAAGCGTTACAGAAAAATACATTGATCAATGTTTTGGCGTAGTAGTGGCTTTTTCTACAATTTGTTGTTTGGCCAGCACAATTACATTTGAAAAACAAAATGATGATTACATAGAAGTTGTTTCCACGCAACTTGTTTTCAAACCCGTACCTATAAGTGACAACTTTTTTAATTTTCCAACATTTACAGTGGTCGATAACGTAAGAAAACATTATTTGTAAACTGAAAAGCGCATATATTTAACGATGAAGAAGGGAGTAATTTTGACAAAAGTATTTTAGATTAAATTGTCTTCAAAAATAAGTGACGTGTGTTGGAAAATATTGCTTATCCTTAGTGGCTTATTGATTATATGCTACGCGATTGCAACATGGAGGCATTTTATGAAACATGTAAAACAATTTCCAGCTACAATGTCTCGATTAAATATGCATTTTAATATCATCCTGACATTACAGGTAAAACGTTTAAAAAAATCTTGCTATAATGAAAAGCTATAGCTGAAAAGCAGTATAAACAATAAGCGCAGATAAGCCCACAATAGATTATATGTTTATTGATAAAACCAAATTAATAAGGCCAGTAAACGCAAAGAGTCGATCCAAAATACGGCCGTCAGTATAATGTATAATTTGAGATTGACTGTCAATAAGGTCGGCCGTGTGTGCAGCCTAAATAAAGTTTTTACATAAAAGCACAAATGCTAAAAACCAAATTTTAGGCCGCTCTACCTGTCATGTTCATTATCCTGCCAGTTTTGTGTTTCATGTGTTTCCAAGAAATCTCAATAAAAACGCGCAGTTTTATGTCCGACATATTATCAATAGTAATTACACTGGATCCAGTCCTTGACGCATTCATAGTCCTGTTTGTAATGCCGTCATTTCGAAGGGAATTGTTTTCACGTTGTATTAAATCGGAATCAACTGTACATGTTTTTGTACAAACGCATAACTAAGTAAACTATTGCAATAAACTACAGTGCGACTTCTGTTGTCCTAAGAATGAGAAACAAGCCTTTTACTAAAGTTTCTTTTGTATTAAGTCAGAAAGAAAATAATGATGGGTTTTGATAAAGGCGGCACAAACTTGCCTAAAGCAAACCGCATAAAGGCCATTTTACCAAATTTCAAATTTTTTGTAAAAATTTTGTAGTAAGTGCAAAAGAGGAAACGGTTATTAAAACCGAGGCACTTTCATTTGGCGTTTCTCTGTACTTCTACTATAGTTTAATGGTATTTCTCGCTATTTCTTGCAATCAAACTTTTGTCGATTGATCGTTGCTTGACCTCTCAGATCTCGACAGTACTTTGTTTAAAAAGAATGATTAAATATAACGCAACTTAATTGCCAACTACAAACCTTACAAAGAATGACATTGTCCGCGTCCTACAAAGTAAGGGAGATACTACAAGATGTTTTACACGTTTAGGTTTCTTGTGATAAAGCTTGTAGTAAGCACAAAAGCGGACAGTTAGTTTCAAAAGCGTTACAATTCCATACGACGTCCCTTTGTACTTCCAACACTTCTTAATGGCAGACTCTGCTAACCTGTGCAATAAAACGTTTGTTGATTATTTAGAAAGGTCTATTAGGATTGGGGTTGACATTACGTCAATTTTTTGTAACGTCATTGTGATTACTTTGTGCTACAAACAAAAAATTAGACTGGGAAGTTATGGGCGAATACTAAGTCTGGCTGCTGTTTTTAACGTCTTCCAAAGTGGGTTTGATGCACTTTTCGACTTTGTAAGTTACACTTGAAGTTGTAGCGTTTTTATGTTTTACCTTGGGGCATGTTAAAATGCCGTAAAGCTTCCTCTTTCCAGAAGCTGGTCAAATGTTTCGGTTTTGGTCTTAAGAAAATCCTCATACTAATATTGTAAAAAGTAAAATTTGGAAAGTATCCATTAAACGTCCTTTTCTTGCTGTACCTAAGATGAAAAATTATCTATTATAGAAGACAGCACCACGCGGCCATTTGTACTTTTACTACACAGAGAATTCAATGCTCAACAATGCCAGCATAACAACCTTTGAAATATTATTAACTACCAAATTTACCATAACTAGTTTAATAGTATCTGTGCCAGTACTGCAGTTTTTTCTTCGATACAGAATGTTATTTGGTGTGATTATTACAGAGCCAATGTTATATAAAAGATTTTCTATAATGACAGCGTTTTTCACCATAGTCTGTTTGACTGATTTGTACAACGTTGAAAAAGGCGAACGTTACAAAGAAACTTTAATTAATGGGCATGAATGTGACTTTGACAGCGTAGAGTATATTCACTTTATAGTCGTGGACCGGGTAAATAAAATAATCTTTACTTTTCATAAAAATTAAAATTTTTAGCAGCCATAGTTTTAGCCTTTAGTCAAGTCTAAACCATAGTTTTAAACGACATTATAACGAAAAAATGAAAAATATATAAAACTCTTGTAATTACAGAGTAAAATGGGTTCCAAAATCTACGACATTTTATTACAAGGTCTTTTGATGATAAATGGAATACTAATTATTTACTATGCGATCGCAACTTGGAGGCACTTTAAGAAACATGTGCTACAAATACCGACTTTAACGCGCCGTTTGAACAAAGACTTCAACATTGTTTTAACGCTGCAGGTAAGATTTAATTTTATGTTTTACGTTAATTTAAGCCTAGGTACAGTGGAACTCTCGTATAACGAATAGCTCGGGGACTTGAAATTTGTTCGTTATAAAGGGGTTTTGTTATAGAGGAGTTTTAAATACATTGTGTAGTGATAAACGGGGATTAAAAGTAAAAGGAGGAGTTCGTTATACAGGAGTTCTACTGTAATTGTTAATTCTAAGTTTTACTTCATCATTTTCAGGCAGCTTTGCCTCTTCTTTTCCTTATCTTGCCAGGATTGATTTTTATGCTGATAAACCTTCCGAATGACATACAAGTTTTTGCAACTTTCCTTCTGACCACTGGAATAACGTTGAATCCAGCTTTGGACGCTTTAATTGTTTTGTTTTTTATGCCGTTGTTCCGTAAAGAGCTATTTTCGTATTTTAAAAAATCGAAACTTTCTGTAAAACTTTTTTCTACGCCTACAATAAAATAAACCGTG